GGGCGGCGGGGCGCGGGGTGCCGGGGCCGCGGTCCACGCCGCCTCGCCCTCCGCCGACGGGAAGCCGAAGCCCAGAAGCGGCCACCACCCAAAGCTGGGGAAAACTGCAGAGAAACAGGAAATGGCCGCTCCACTCACATCCGGCCTCCCCTCCCCCGCGCCGGCGCCGCCGCTCCCAGGCTCCGGGGCGGGGCCGCTCCCGCCCGCGCGGCTCCCGGGGTTCCTCTCGGGTTCGGGGACGCTCGGGAGCGCTCGGCTCCAGCCGCTGGGCGCGCCTCGGAGGGCGGCGGGGCGGGCCGGCCGCCATCTTTGCGCTCTGACAGACGCGGGCCCAGCCCGCCCCGGCCGGGCCTGGCGTCGGCCTTGGCAGGATCTCTGGGTTCCAGACACCCCGCTCCCCGCGTCCCCGACCAACTCCAGCCCGAGGCCATGCAAAGGGCGTTCACCTATATTTTTTATGTGAGAACCATAACTTATGTGATGACGAGGTCCTTCTAGAAAATTCGGAACCTAAAACTATAAAAAAGAGAAGACCATACGCCATAGCATTATTCAGAGATAAGAGATGTTCATTCAGGAAAATTGTCTTTACTGCGTTTAGCGTTTACTATGTCCTATTGCTTTGCGCCGAGTTCTGGAGATAATGTTTGTTCGCAGACCATTGAAATGCCGATATTTTGGTATATTTCCTCTCAGTTATTTCTTTATGTGCATAACAAACATGTTTTAAACAAAAGTAAGAAATCATGCTGAATCGTTACAACGTTTTTAATGGCTGCTTACTATTCGTTGCATTATGCACATGTACCTTAATTTAACCAATTCCTCTATTATTGGACAGTTGAATTGTCCCTATTTGAGAAGCAATGCTGGGATGAACAAGTTTATGCAAGAATCTTTATAGCTCTATTTCTTTAGACTACGTTTCCTACTGGGTTAATAGGCGTGAATGTTTCTAAAGCTTTTATACGTGTTGCTGCATTGTCCTCCTGCAAGGTAATAACCAGTGCTCACTCCCATCAACTCTGTTAGCGAGTGGACCCTCCAGGGGAGTTGATTTCCGATGATGTTTTCATCTTGTAGGCCTTCTCTTCCTACAACGCGCTCTGTTGCTCAGTATTGTAACAATTTTCTGAAATCAGACATTTTCTACACAAGTTTTTTTTAAAAAAAAACATTTTTGTCTTGCAATTATTTCAAAATAAACACGTTCCCAGGGCAAAGGACACCTCCTTTTTGCTGTGTTCATAACGATCTCCCATAAAGAAGAGTTGAAATTTCAAGGATAGGAGAACAACAGTGTCCCCTTTGCTGATAGAAATTTCCAGTGACTCTATGACAAGCCTAAACTGCTAAGTGTAGTTACTTTCATGTTTTTAGACCAGGAGCAAATAAAAGGGTGAGGCCTTGGGTCAATAATTTAATTCAACTGAACAAACATTTGAGTGCTGCTGTGGCGTAAGGGACTCATAGGAAATGAACGAGATGGGAACACAGTTGCCAGGGTATCAGGCCCACTGTGCTCAGTGCTCTAAGTGGGGTACAAATATGGTGTTTACTAGGAGGCAAAAAACTATATTCATGATAATAAAAAAGCTTTCATCAAAGAGATTAGTTGAAAGATGGGTCTGGGTAGGATTTTTGGTGGGTCTTGATGGAGTAAGAAGAAAAGAGTTTTCCACAGAGAGAAGAAAGTCCTGGAAATTAGGGACTCAGAACCATCCTCAGGTGGGACGCAGAGGGAGCAAGCATTTGCCCTGCTCCAGGTCTAGAATCCAGAGAGGTAATTGCAGGCTGGATTACAGACTGCCTTGAATGTGGACTTATTCTGATACGACATGAGTTTTTGAGCAAACACATGACACAACCATATTCAGATCATTATTTCTCTAGATTGATAAAATGAAAGTTCACCATACAAGAGGTTTGACTGTGACTATAAAATAACACAATTAATGTACAACCCACATATGAAAATCAGCTTTAATTTAAAACTGAGTTAACTTAAAGCTTCTCGAAAGTTGGCCTTGAGTGTCTATTTGTAATGTGCCCCATGGCAACACATGGTCCAAAAAAGTTAAGTTCAAATTAAAAAAGCAAATATTGAACTATGTGTGTTTCTGAATGTGCTACACAGTTATTTATCAAGTGCCTGCTATGTATGCAATCATATACCCTACTTAGGTCCTTCATTCAAGGTCGATCATTTATTTGGGTCCAAGTGTTGGAAATGTGAAAGGAACAAAACAGATCCCTGCCATCAGAGAACATACGTTCTAGTGGGGGAGATGCATAATAGGCAAATGAACATTTGATATTCATTCCCAGGTTAACATGATGGATTGGATGCAAGTATTTGATTTCACTTCTACCCAAAACCCCGCTAAAACTTCAGAAAAGGAATTTAAAAGACATAATCCTAGAACAGAAAGAACAGGGAAGGAGACAACAGAGGTTGGATGCTGGAATGTGTGGACAGACTGGTTGTAACTGATGTAGCCACCTAGACTGGCAGTGGGAAAGCTGATCAGCACTAGATCTACCCCCAGAGAATCATCGAAGGGCTGGGAACTGGCAGCACCTGGCACCTATGGAAGGGGGGTGGAAAGGAGAGGAGGATAAGAAAGATGGGGTGAAAGCTGAGAAGCAGCAGCAGCAGGCAGTCTACATCACCTCCTATCATGCACTAGACGAGGTGGCCGCCTTCTCCTTCCCCTACAAAAGACTGGAGCTTCCTCTCTAGAGGGGGTAAACTAGTGGGTATTTGGATGCCTGGAAACCAAAACAAAAATGAAGGGATTTAGTAGCCCTATGACGAATCTTGACCCTCCCCAACCCTTTCCCTCATGGCTCCTGCTGACAGTTTCCCTGAGAATAGAAGGGTGGAGGGTCGGGGGCCTCTTCTCTAGGGAACCTGTCCAGCCCAGGAGGAAAGACCAAACACATGTCAACATGGGGAGGGGGCTCCAGGAAGCCTCCCACTCCTTCTGAGCTTCCCATTAACTCAGTTTCTCACCCTTGATCAGACAACCAAGGATTAAAAGATATATGAGGAAAACCTCCAGAATGGAAGCTAGAAATCAAAATATCCAAATAAATAAATTTGGGGAAAACAAAAACAGGGCAAGGAGAAGGAAACCTAAAAAAAAAAAAAGCTATCAATATCTTCAGATAAGAGACTATAATTCATTCGTGAATAAGAAGGGAGTGCTGTTAAAAAAGGAACATCCAGATGATTAAAAAAAACAAAAACAAAAGCAAGCTAGCAAAAATGAAAAACTCAACAGAAAGATTGGAACATAGAAGGCCAGCCTGGTGGCATAGTGGTTAAGTTCCCACACTCCACTTCCGCGGCCCAGTGTTCACAGGTTCGAATCCTGGGCGCGGTCCGAGGCATCATCAAGCCATGCTGTGGCAGCATCCCACATACAAAATAGAGGAAGGTGGGCACAGATGTTAGCTCAGAGCCAATCTTCCTCAGCAAAAAGAGGAAGACTGGCAACAGATGTTAGCTCAGGGCCAATCTCCCTCACCAAAAAAAAAAGAAAGGTTGGAACGCTGAGTTGAGGAAATCTCTCGGAAAACCTAAAAGACGTGGAGAGATAGAAAATAGGCAATGGTGAGAACACTAGAGAAGCCGCCCAGGAGGTCCAACCATCCCCATCATATCCTATAATAGAAAAGAAAGAACAAAGAAAAAGCAAAGGAGGAAAACATCCACAAAAATATTAAGGAAATTTCCCAGACCTGAAGGACAGGAGTTTACTGATGGAAAGTGCCAGCCCAGTGACTGAAAATAGACCCAACCAGAGTACATCATTGTGCAACTTCAGAACAATGGGGACAGATAAGAGCCTACAAGCTTTCAAAGAGAAAACACAAGTCATAGGGAAACAGGAAATAGAATGGCTTCAAGTTTCCCAGCAGTTACACTGGTGGAGCCATGCCTTCAAGATTCCAAAGGAAAATAATTTTCAACCAAGAATTCTACTCATAGCCAAACTATTGATCAAGTGGGCGGGTAAAATAGGAACATTTTCAGACAAGTAAGTTCTCCAAAATTTTACCTCCCACACACCATATCCCAGGAAGCTACTGGAACAAGTGTTCTTCCAGTAGGAGGAAATAAACCAAATGAAGCTATGAGAAGCTGAAACGGGAGATCTAGCACAGCAGAGATCTAACACCCTCCCCGCCAGGGATGGTGACTATTGTATGACCAGCCCACTTTGGAGCAGGAAAACTTTGTGGCCATAAACCACACACGGTCTGTTTTCCTGGCCGCTTCCCCCAGGATGAGCAGCCGGGGATAGCGGAAGACAAACCAGCACTTTTGCTTACTAGCTCAGCTCTGATGACAGAGCAAGGATATAACAACAATGAGAAGGTGACAACAATGAGACAATAGAGAACTACTCGTTGATGGGAACGGCTACACTTTTTCTCTCCCCCCCACCCATTTCATTATAAAAATTTTCAAACACGCAGGAATGTTGAAATGAGTGTACAGAGAACTGGGTATATATCCATCTAAATTCTACAATTAACATTTTACTATACATGCTTTATCACATATCTGACCATTTATCCATTCAACAATTCATCTAATTTTATGCATTTCAAAAGAGGTTACAGAAATCAGTCTATTTCACTGTTAAACACTTCAGCATGCATATCATTAATTATATTTGCTTATAGTTTGCTTTTTTTTAGGTAAAAATTACATACAATGAAGTGCACAAATCTTAAGTTTGCCGTTCACTGAGTTTTGACAAATATATACACCTGTGTAATGCAAAACCCCTCAAGATGTAAAACGTTACCATCACCCCAGGAAATTCCCTCATGCCTCTTCCTAGTCAATCTCTGGCCCCACTCCCAAAGGCAACCTCTGTTGAGATCTTTTTCACAGGTTCCTTTTGCCTGTTCGAGAACTTCTTATAAAAGGAATCATACAGTATGTACTCTTTTGTGTCTGAATTCTTTCTTTCAGCATAATGCTTTTGAGATTCTTTTGTGTTGTTGTGTATATCAGTGTATATCAGAAATGTGTTCCTTTTTACCGCTGAGTAGTATTCCATGGTAGGATTTATCATAGTTCATCCATTTCCTGTTGATGGACTCCTAGGGTGTTTCCAATTTGGGCTATTATAAATAAAGCCAATAAGAAAATTTTTGTACAAATCTTTTCAGACATGCATTTTCACTTATCATGGGTAAGTACCCAGGAGTGGAATTGCCAGGTCATAAGGTAGGTATGTTTTATTTTTTTATTTGTATTTTTTTGAGGAAGATTGGCCCTGACCTAACATCTCTTGCCAATCTTCCTCTTTTTTTTCTTTTTTCTCCCCAAAGCCCCAGTACATAGTTGCATATCCTAGTTGTAGGTCCTACTAGTTCTTCTATGTGGGACGCCGCCTCAGCATGGTTTGATGAGCAGTGAGTAGGTCCGCGCCCAGGATCCAAACCAGCGCACCCCAGGCCACCGAAGCAGAACATGTGAACTTAACCACTGTACCACTGCACCACCAGGGCTGGCCTGGTATGTTTTGTTTTATAAGAGAGTGTAAGAGCTTCTGAACACTTGAAGGTCCTGGGAGAGTGGCACAGCCGGAGACGGCTTGGAAGCTCCATGCCCCTCCCCACATACCTTACCCTGTGCATCTCTTCCATCTGGATATTCATCTGAATCCTTTTCATATCCTTTTGTAATAGACTGGTAAACAAAAAGAACACTTCTTCTCTCCCTTTTCATTCAGAAAGAACTCTCTTCAGTGCATTCAAATCTTCTCCCCCCAACAGCAGGGGATTTTCAGATACTGGGCACAGTCTAACCCTACTCCAGGATTGGGAGAGAGAAAACGCTATCCTCCTGTTTCAGCAGTAAAGGAGAAGTGAGTTGGTTGAGAACGACCTGCCTCCAGAACTAAAAGAAAGTAAAACTGGAAATGATACTGGAGATACAGCTGAAACTGGACCTGGTCCCAGTGGAAAAGGCCAGAAGAATTGGATCTCACCGTCCACTCCTCTGACAGAGGCACTGGAAGCTTCACTTAAGCACCCACCTGTCAGTTCTGATGGAAATACCTGGTACCTAGAAATTGTCACAACAGACTGGACCTCACCAACCTAACAAAGGTTGACTATACATGGACATTAGACAAGTCATAAAAATAATAATAATGATAATAGTTAAAAAAAGAAAGCGCAGAAAGTCCTTAAAAGGTTGGCTCAGTTCTGCATTATATGTGACCCTCGCCACTAGAAAGAGGGCTTAACATGCTTTGTCTCCAGGTGGTCTCCAGGACAGTAGCCTCTAGGGCCAAGGCTTGGGGGTGGTGGTGGGCGGTATCGTTCCTCCTCTGACAGGTAGGATGCCGGCTCTGCTTGGCCAGCAACTCCCCTGCGCCTGCAGCCCCTGGCACCAGGGACACTCCAGATTTGAAACAAGCTTTACAGTAACATGCTTTACACTCTCTTAAGCTGGGAATGGGAGAGAGACTCAGAGGACAATTTGTGTTATCTCAAGCTGGAAGTGAGGCACCAACACAGCCCCTCTCACCCCCACGGCTGGCTGCTCCTGTGGTGGAACCCAGGGAGTGGCCGAATCACACCAAACCCCTACTAACAGGAGTGGCTGAAGGGAAATAAATTAGCTTTCTGTCAAAACAAAAGGAACTGGAAGACTTTTTTCCAAATTGTCTCATTTCACCTTCCCATCAACAATGTATCCCCACCAATATTTGTTGTTAGCAGTCTTTTTTCTTTAAATCAGTCTTTTTAATTTTTAACCCACACTGGTGGGTCTCTAGTGGCATCTCTCTAATTTGCATTTTCCCTGGTGGCTAATGATTTGAACACTTCTGTGTGTGTGCTGTCACCACGCCTCTCATTTAACTAACAACTTGGCAAGAGCCTTCTGATACTTGTGGACTGTGATGCAGAAAAAAACCACAAATCTGCGCAAATAAGAAAAATTCTGGTATATTTGCATGCTTATCCATGTGTAGACGATCTCTGGAGAGACGCAAGCAGCTGGTAACAGAGCTGGCTTTGGGGAGGGGCTGGGTATCTGGGGAAAGGGGTGTGAGGGAGACTTTTCACTGTTTGCCCTTTTGCTCCTTTCAGATTTTGTACTATGTGCGTGCATTACCTACTCAAATAGGAATAAAAATTAAACTCACTCTAATAGATTTCAAAAAGGAAATCAAAAAGATCTCCAGTGTGCGAACGTACTTTGCCATCTTGATGAAAAGAAGCAAAGCCCCAGGATACGATCCAGGTTCTTTCAATTAGGAGCACCCAGTGGCCCAAAGAAATGTCTGCCTTGTCTTCATCACACATGTCAGCCTTGCTGGTATTTTATGCTGGAAGCTTGGCACAGTGGAAAGAACACTGGGGGAAGAGCCCAGGAATGCCCCAGCTTCACCACCAGTGGGCTTGGTGGCTTTGCTAAGTCACCAAGACTTTTTTCTCATCTGCACAATAAGAATGCAACTTGTGCACTCAATTCTTTAGTCCACAATTCCAGCAAGGGCTCTAAACGTGAGCAGGAACAAGCCGGACCAATTACTCATTACTTTGTCATTGGATTTTTCTTTTTTATTTCTTAATTGTTTATTTATCAAGAGAAACTATTCCTTAGCCCATATATTCATGTTTCATAGTTCAGGAACACAGGTCAATGAGTGACAAACTTCTCTGGAACTCAACCCAAAGAAATTCTTTACATTCCAAAATCACTTTGCGCTCTGAAAGATACCAGCCTTCCTCATCTCCTCAAAATCTTTCACGGAATCACAATTTCTGTAGAAATCTGCATATGCCTTCTTTCTTGGTTCAGCCATAGCAAACTTATAGAAAGCTGCAACCCCCAGGAGATGCAATGAATGCTCCAACAATATAAAATCGCACACACTTGGCCAGAAGGCCACGCATTTGAAGTTTCATCAGAGCGCTGGAAGCCATGGTAGTTATTCTCCTCAACACCAGCATCCTTCCTGCCTGATGGAGAAATGCTGGATTTTTTTTTAAATTAAAGACATATATGCACTTTGTTAAAAGAGCAACCACTACAGCAAAGCTTATCCTAAAGACCACAGTCCCCTGCCCAACCTCTCCCTGGTCTCCCCACCTCCAAGTCTGCCCCTTTAAGGGGCAACCACTTTTTTTAAAAAAAAAAGGGAAATACAGCAAATTAAAGAAAAGGGTATTAAACCTAAATGTACAATTTCAGGGTAACCACTTTGAACCGTATCTGTTTTCTTGCACTGATTTCCTCTATATTGCCAAATAACAAGCTAATGCCACTGTTTCTTGCTTGACCAACTGGCAACATCATCTCTTGGCTTTCTGCTGTGATAACTGGAGACAAATGAGGATTAGCTCACTGATGCCACCATTCCCCCCATTATTGTATATATCACTATTTTAGTTCTTCTCTTGGTTACCATTGAAACTTTAAAGAACATACTGTCCCTCTCTTCTTTGCTCTACCTACTCTCTCGGGATCCTCCTAGGTAAGATGAGGATAACTCCACAGGTTCACCTGGGCCAGCAGGGCCTGGGCCTGGGCAATCTGAGTGACCAAGGCAGCATCAGCCAACAGGCTTGTGCCTCTGACCCCAGGGCAAGCTGTCTGCTTGGTCCCCTGTCCTCCCGCAAATTCACCCATTTTGTCCCTGAAGTCTGGACAGGTAGAGGCCTGAGGGTGAGAGTCCTGCCCAGAATTCGGGCGGGAGAGAGGTTAGGATCATCTCACACCCTCCAGACCCCAAGCCAGCTGCTGCTTGCTTCTCTGTTTGCTAAGATTCCTAGGTGTGGTGCATCATACCAGCTGATCTCACCGGAAATGTCCAACAGAAATATAATGCAGGCGACACAGGAATGTAGTAGCAGCATTAAAAGAGTAAAAGGAGGGCCGGCCCCGTGGCTTAGCAGTTAAGTGCACACGCTCCGCTGCTGGCGGCCCGGGTTCGGATCCCGGTGCGCATCAATGCACTGCTTCTCCAGCCACGCTGAGGCCGCGTCCCACATACAGCAACTAGAAGGATGTGCAACTACGACATACAACTATCTACTGGGGCTTTGGGGGGAAAAAATAAATAAATAAAAAAAAATCTTAAAAAAAAAAAAGAGTGAAAGGAAACAAATACAACTAATTTTAAACCACTTTATTGAGGTATGATTGACATACAAAGAGCTGTACATATTTAATGTATACAACTTGATGAGTTTGGAGTAATGCAATTAACTTTAATCATATATATATATATTTTGTGTGTGTGTGAGGAAGATTAGCCCTGAGCTAACATCTGATGCCGCTCATCCTCTTTTTGCTGAGGAAGACTGGCCCTGGGCTAACATCTGTGCCCGTCTTCCTCTACTTTATATGTGGGATGCCTGCCACAGCATGGCTTGATAAGTGGTGCATAGGTCTGTGCCTGGGATCTGAACCGGCGAACCCTGGGCTGCCAGAGTGGAGCACACAAACTTAACGGGCCAGCCCCAATCATATATTTTATTTAACTCAATATAGCCAAAATGTTATCATTTCAACGTGTAATAAATAGAAAAAATTATTGAGACATTTTACACTCTTTCTGGCGCTAAGTCTTTGAAATCTGGTGTGTATTTTACACTTATATCACATTTCAATTCAGGTGCTAAACGTTCATCAGAAATATTTGATCTGTATTTAGATTTTGTAAAATTTACTATCGAAAAAGTAGATTCCCATACCCAAGCTGTTCTAAATATACTTAAAGTTTTCCAATAACTGAACTGGAGTATCAGTTTTTAAATTTAAATTGAAGTAGGGGGCCAGCCCAGTGGCACAAGTGGTTAAGTGTGCACCCTCTGCTTCAGTGGCTTGGGGTTCGCAGGTTCGGATCCCACGTGCGCACTGACACACCACTTGTCAAGCCATGCTCTGGTGGCATCCCATATAAAGTGGAGGAAGATGGGCACGGGTGTTAGCTCAGGGCTAACCTTCCTCAGCAAAAAAAAAAAGAGGAGGATTGGCATTGGATGTTAGAAGAGGGCTGATCTTCCTCACACACACACACACAAAATTTAAACTGAAGTAAATTTCAAAAGCTCAATAGCCAAATGCGGCTAGCATATTGGACAGCGTAGGTTTAATGGACGCCAAAGCTAGTGCTGCAGAGAGGCCCCCGCTTGGAGGGACCATCAGAAACGTCTATATGAAAGTCCCTTCTGTTTGTTTTTTTCCCATCATGAGGACGTTGTCGACCATCTTGCCTACTACATCACCTTTCTGAGGGCCATCTTTTAACTCTTGGTAAAAGTGAAAGCTGTGTTTCCCCTGAAATATACATTATGTGTTGTATTTGTTTATATATATAATTTCAGATATACTGATAAATGCTATGAATAAAAATAAAGTAGTGCTCAGTACATTAGTCAGGGTTCTTTGGAGAAACATAACCAATAGGAGATACAGAGAGAGAGAGAGAAAGAGAGGGAGAGAGGAATTTATTATGAGGAATTGGCTTATGCAATTATGGAGGCTGGGAAGTCCCAGGATCTGCCATCTGCAAGCTGGAGACCCAAGAGAGCTGGTAGTTCCAGTCCAAGTCCAAAGGCCTGAGAACCAAAAGAGCTGACGGTGTAAGTTACAGTCAAAGTGCAGAAGACCAATGTCCCAGCTCAAAAACAGGCAGAGAGAGCACATTCCCCCTTCCCCCACCTTTTGTTCTATTCAGGCCTCCAACGGATTGGGTGCTGCCAACCCACACTGGAGAGGGCCATCTGCTTTACTCAATCTACCTATTCAAATGTTAGTCTCATCCAGAAACACCCTCACAGACACACCTAGAATAATGTTAAACCAAATATCTGCGCACCCCATGGCTCAGTCAAGTTGACACGTAAAATTAACCATCACACTTACTATTATGGATATTGAAGGGGAATGTGTTATTATCATAATTAATAGTAATAATAACAATAATAATAACAAGAACAAAATCCAACTAACCACTGAACATATACTACTTACCAGGCACTGTATATGCTTTTTGTGTATTATTTCTAATTCTCAAAACAACTCCATTGGTGAGACAGTTAGTACTATTATACCCATTTCACAGATGAGGAAATTGAGCCATATTGACATTTAGTAACTTATGCAAGATCAGGTCTCTGGCAAATGGCACGGTTTCTTTTAAGTTTATTTTTATTTATTTATTTATTTATTTATTTATTTATTTATTTATTTATTTATTTATTTTGCTGCGGAAGATTCACCCTGAGCTAACATCCTCTGCCAATCTTCCTCTTTTTGTTTGTGAGCCACCGCCATAGCTTGGTCACTGACAGACAAGTGGTCTGCCCAGGCTGCTGGAGAGGAGGGCGCCGAATCTAACCATTAAGCCAAAGTTAAAATGGCACTTTGAACCAAAATAGCTTGATGCCAGGGCCTACTGTCTTAGTCACGACATTAAGCTACTTCGTTTATTTATTCTTTTGTTATAAAATTTTAAAGAGCTGGTCCCTGTTCTCAAGGAGCTTCCAGTATAGTAAGGCCGTGAGTACTACCACAGAAAGGAACCATTTTTGGTTTGGAAGATAGAAGTGAGTATAAGGAGATGATTCAGACAAGTCTGCAGGAAGACATGGTATTTGACCTGGATCTAAAAGAACAGATGTTGGTTGGGTTTCTGTAGTTGTGGTAGATTGTATTTTCCAAGTTGGCCACAAAAGATCTCTTATCCTATACACCCTTCCTACAAAGTGATAGTGACACTCCTCCCACTAAGAAACGAGATCTATGTTCCCTTCCCTTGAAGCTGGACAGGACTACAGTCTACGGCAGAAGTGGCAGCAGGGGTCTGCCTGAGACCTTCTGGAAGCTTGCTCTTGGAACCTAGTCACCATACTGTGAGGAAGTCCAAGCCACATGAAAAGGACACGTACAGGTGCTCAGAATGCCATCCCCAGCTGAGGGCCCAGCTAATAGCCAGCATCAACTGCTAGACTCTGGAGTGAGGAAGTGTGATATAAAAAAATATATACTTGGACTTTGTCCCCAGTTCCTGGCACAGAGCTCCTATCACCCTTGGAATTTCGAGTGTCTTTTGTCACTCATAAGGAGAACTTTCGACCATACCTGAGTTTATGCTAATGAAGTGACTCATGGCTGAGCCCACAGATAGCTTCAGGGTGGGGGCTGGGTGCTGGAAAAACCAACCACCAGATTAGACTGTTGGAACCTTCAGCACCCACCCCCAACCTCCAGAGCGGAGAGAGGGACTGGAGAGTGAGCTCAATCATGTGGCCAGTGATTTAGTCAATCATGCCCGTGTGATGAAACCCCATATGAAAACCCCGAAACATTGGGGCTGGAGGAGATTCTGGGTTGGTAAACACATCGATGGGCTGGGAGGGTGGCATGCCCAGATTCCACGAGGAGAGAGCGTGGAAACTCTATGCCTTCCCCCACCTTGGACCTTGTCCTATTCAACTCTTTTTTTTTAACCACTTTATTGAAGTATGATTGACGTAGAAAAAGCTATACATATTTAGTGCATACACCTTGATGAGTTTGGAGTTAAGTACACACTCGTGAAACTATCACCACCGTCTATGCGTCAGCCTAAAAGTTTCCTCCTGTCCCCTTTACTTATTATTATTATTATTATTTTGTTATAAGCACACTTAACATAAGACCTGTGCTCTTAGCAAATGTTTAAGCATATAATACGATACTGTTAACTAAAGGCACTATACTGTACAGTAGATCCCTAGGACTTATTCATCTTGTATAACTGAAACTTTGTACCTCTAGCCCCCTCCCCTCAGCCCCTGGCAAACACCATTCCACTCTCTGCTTTTATGAGTTTGACTATTTTAGATTCCTCGTATAAGCAGTATCACGTAGTATTCGTCCTTCTGTGTCTGGCTTATTTCACTTAGCATGTTGTCCTCTAGGTTATTCCATGTTGTCGCAAATGGTGAGATTTCCTTCTTTTTTAAGGCCGAATAATA